AAAAAAAAAAAAAAGAGAGTGGGAGAGGGAGAGGAATTGACTACAGAGGGACACCAGGTGATGGAAATGTTCCGTATCTCAATTGTCAAACCTCAAGAAGCACCTAAGATTTGTGTATTTTATTGTATGTAAATTATACCTCAATTAAAGAAAAAGTCAAATACCAGTGCAGGGCCTCACTGGAGAGATTCAGGTTTAGCGGGTCTGGAGTGGGGCCCAAGCAAGGTTGTTTTTACGAGAGCCTCCCGGGGTTGTAAAGTGCAGCTACGTTAACCACTGTCCAGTCCACATTCTCACAGCCCTCCTGCACTCGGCTCCATTTCTATCTGCCTCCAGAAAGGCTAGCTGGCTGGGCCATGGGCATCAAATCAGCTCCAGCTGGCCCTCATCCCCTCACAGGAGAAATGGAGCTCAGGTTGAAGGTGTATGTGACATTCCACGAGAATGTTTGTTATTGGTCATTAAAAGAATGACAATAATAGCTAGTGTTACCTGAGCACTTAGTATGAGCCTGGCACTGTGGTATTAGAAGGTGCGTTATTTAACTTAATCCTCAGTGTAATTCAGCTGTTAGCCACTGGTAGGTAACGCTTTTACAGGTGAAATACAGGTGAAAAACCTGAGGCATGGTGACTTGCTCAAGGTCACATGGCCAGGAAATGAGTCAGAAAGCAGTCTAACCATCACACTACCCTCCATTCTGTCCCTGCAAGCTCCAGCTGTTTTAGGTCGAAGTGCCCCAGAAAGAGCACCGGAGCCCGAATCGGCCGCACACTTTCTAGCTGTGTAATGTCAGTAAACAACCCAACCTTTCTGAATCTTCCCCTCAGTTTCCTCGTCTGAAAAATGGGCATTACACTAGATCTGCCTACTGCATGAAGCTCATAGAGGGTTAAATGAGAAAACACTGAGTGACACAAAGTGAAGAGGTCATCGAATATCAGGAAGACACAGACAGGAGCCTGAAGCCCAGGAGACTGAAGTGTCTTTCTCACGGTCACAAAGGAAGAATCCAGGTCCCCCAACTTGTCTGGAGTATTTCCACAACATCAGCCACCACACTAGGCTGGGCCTCCCTTTCCACCACCACCCCCAAGCTGTCTCAAGTCCCTCTGTGCCCCTCCTCTGCCTCCTACCCCTCCCTCATTCTCATCACCAGCTCCAAGCTGTCTATGTTTCTCTAGCCACATCACTCTTCCCTATTGGGTCCCAGGCTGTGCCTAGGTCAGGCTCTCCCCTCAGTGGCTCTCCTCTCATTCAGCTCCCTCCTGCCTCTTCCAGAGAGGCCTCTGATGACCACCCCCTCTATCTCCTACCTGTGACAAGGCCTCCAGAAGAGGCCAGGCTCCATACAGAATGTCCTCACTCCCCAAGGTCTGTTTCTCTCCTTTTTTTTGGCTTAAGGCAGGAAGTATTCCCATATTACCCCTTCAGAAAAGAAATCTCTCCCTCCCTTTCAGTTGACACCTACAGCTACAAGAATTGACCACTGGGTAACCCCACTAATGACAACAGATCTTGTTTTGCAAGCAGGAGGGCCCTGGCAAGAGGAGACCAGGGCTGAAGAGGGGATAAAAAACGCCAGCAGGGGCTTCAGCAAGACAGTCTAGCCCTTCTAACCTTGACCTCCTACCCAGATCATGGTCACTACCTTCACTCCCATCTTCTCTGGCAGGCAGCCCTACACTGAAGGGTGGGTGAACCCTTGCACAATTCAATCGGGCGGGCATTACTATCTCCATTTCACAGTTGAGGAAACTGAGGCCCATCCCTTAGGCAACTCCTGCAACGTCACTCAGCTAGAAAGTGCTGGAGCCAAGATCTAAACCCAGACCTGTCTGACTCCGTGGCCCCTGCTTTCTCCACTACTTCTGCCTCTGGGCTTGGAAGCACTCAAGATTGGGCAGCAAAATCTCCTTTCCCCAAAACTGGCCATCTCCCCTCCAGCCCCTCTTCTCTGTTCAGGACAGACTGTCAGGGGCAGGAACACTGGGAGATTTGGAGGCTGACACGTCTGCTCTCTTCCAGTCTGTGTCTCCTTATCCTCCCTCCCTCTTTCCCCTTGCCTCCTCTCACAGAAGAGCCCATGCTCACCAGGCAGGTAGCATGGGATTTGCGCAGGCCCCCACCCCACCCACCTGGAGACCCCTAGTAGAGCATTCTCAACCAGCATTCTGGAAGTACTAAGCAGAGCTGGAAACTCACCAGCTTCTTCCCCTGCCAGTGTGCATGGGGGGACCTACCCTGCTCCCTCCTTCTTCCAGGGACCACCTAGAAGCCTTGACTTCCTTTGCTTTGGACCCTCTTCAGCTCTGTTCTCCTCCACTCTCAGCACCTCCAACCTGTCTCCCAGGGGCCTATGAACACACAGCCCCAGTGTAGTCCCTCCACATGTGGCCCTATGAGCTCAGCCTGCCCCACGATGTGTTCATAGGCAGGGGCCCTGCCAGCAGCCTCTCACCTGTGAGCCCCCCCGAGGACAGAGTCAGCTCCTCTAGAGTAGGTTCCGAGCTCTCAGATCACATGTGGAATTCAGTCCTGGCTGTGATATTTTAAGAGCAACAGATGTTCATACAGCAATGAGTGTTCAGAGGACAGAGAGCAAGGTGGTAAGAGTTCTAAACCATCTCATCTAAGGAAAAGTGACAGGAACCACTCTAATCAGCTCTCCAGGCTCACCTCCTAGCCTTGCCACTTTTTAGATGTTAGCCTTAGAGAAGGTACTTATCTTCTCTGTGCCTCTGCTCCGTCACCTGTCGAATGGGAGTGTTAATAGTACTAGGGTTGTTAGGAGGATTAAATGAGTGAATATATGAAAAGTAGTGAGAAGAATACCTGGCAGTGTAGGTGCTGTACAACTGCTGCTGTTGTTCTCATTATCGTTACTGTTATTACGACTATTATTGGAGAAGAAAAAGCTAAGGAGACACCGGAGCACTGCCTGCCCCTTATCTACCATGTGACTTTGTGGTCTTAACAAGAGTGGAGCCTATGACCAGACTGCAGCTCTGACTCCTCCACTTAACAGCTGGGTGACCTCTGCAAAGCCTTTAGGTTCCCAGAGCCTCTGTTTTCTCATCTGACTCCTTATCTAACAAGCTTGTTATGAGATCAGAATGTGAGAGTGGACTTTGCAAGCTGCAAGGCAGTTACTGCTGTCATAGGGCGCACCTGGACTGAAGGCCGTTGGGTCAAGAAGGAGATGTCTTTAGAGTTGCTTCAAAGAGACAGAACCAGGACCAAAGGGTAGAGGTTATGATGAGGTAAACTGCAGCTTTCCCTAAGGAAGACCTTTCCAACAACAGCTGCCACAGAGGTAGTGAGGTTCCTGACACGAGAAAGAGTCCATCACTGCGTGGGGGGTAGGGGTCAGCTCTAAGAGTGCGGGCTCTCTGTCCCTGCCAGGCCTAGTGTCCAGATCCTGCAGGGAGCACAGGGTCTCCCCACCAGGGTTAGGGACAAACAGCCTGGCTGAGAGCCCCCCTTCCTCCATGCAGCCTCTCTCTCTGGGGAATTGCCCCTCTCCTTCACCCTACTGCCGCAGTGCTCCCCGCTCTGCCACCTCTGGGAAGGAAGATTCCATGACCTCCTTTGTTGTTTAAGAACCCAAGTTCTTCCTCAGATCCAGCCTAGATCCCTCCTGGGATTGGATGAAAAGTGTATTCTTTTCCGGCTCTGTTTTCCGTGGATGTGGATGTGACTGGCCCTCTCCCTTGGGTGAAAGAAAAACCCTTTGTTGACCAGAAAGAAAGGGACTGCAGTGGCTGACCCTTCACACTGGATTCATAGCACTCCCTTGCTTAATGTGGAAGGTCTTCAGCCCTTGTACCTTGTTTTTTTTTTTTTTTTTGTGAGGAAGATCAGCCCTGAGCTAACATCCATGCCTATCCTCCTCTTTTTTTTTGCTGAGGAAGACTGGCCCTGGGCTAACATCCGTGCCCATCTTCCTCCAACCCTTGTCTCTTCTCCTGGAAGTTACAAAGCAGCCTGGAACCCCACACCTCCTTCTTCTTCCTCCCCCTCTGCTGGCTGGGCCCAGCTGCCAGCAGGCAGGCGTCCTTGGTCTGACCACCTCATTCCAGTTATCTTGCCAGCTCCTCTATCTGTCTGCTGATTTCCACCTCCCCACTGCTTCCCCTGTAGGAGTCACTCATCGCCCTCTGCCTCCTGCACCTGCTGCCAGCCAGCAGCTGGCCCACCGTGATTCACACTCAGGTCACCACCGCCAGGCGCATTAACCTGTCCAGCCACCCTTGCCTCTCTCCTGGAACAGGAACCAACAACCCTGGAAGCCTCCCTCCTGCACCCTGACAAGTACCCCTCCTCTTACTGCTGCTATTCCCATGGCCTCCCACCACCCCCACCGCAACCCCCCATCCCCCACCCCAACCCCTCCCCCCTGCAACCCTGGATGCCTTTGCCTGTCCCCTCCTTTAAAGTGCAGTGGGAGAACACACTTTGAAATCAAACACACTTTGTTTGTGACTCGGCTGCTAATCTGGGGTACCCTGGCTCCAAGGTGGGGGGTGAATCCCAGATTCACCACCTGCTACCTGTGTGAACTTGGGCAAGTTACTTAACCTCCCTGGGCCTCACTTTCCTCATCTATAAAATGAGAGTAACACTGGTATCTACTTCAGAGTTCTGCTGTGAGGATTAAATAATTTAATATAAAAATTTAATTTATGTTTGGCACATATTAAGTACTATGTAAGTGTTGGCTATTATTGTTGTTATTTTTTTATTACTTGCTGTGTGACCTTGCTCAAATTATTTCACCTCCATGTCCTCATCTGCAAAACGGAAATAATAATAATGCCCACCTCCTAGACTTGTCGGGATTCAATGAGATCTTGCGTATAAAGCGCCCAGCGCAGGCTCGAGCACACAGTAGGTGCTCAGCATCCTTCCCCTGCTCAGGGAGGCTTCCCGGACTCACCTCCCTTCAGGTGCTCCCCTCAGTGAGTCCTGCACAGCCCTCCATTCAGGAGGGATTCTTTCTGAGTGGACACCTGTCTCCCCACCTGCAGGCCCCTGGAGGCAGGGCCTCTGGTTTCCATTCCCCGGGGCTTTTTCCTAGACTGTCCAGGGCCCTGCACCCAGCAGAACCTTAGAAAACACACAGGCCTCAACAGGTTGCCCCCTGCCCTCTCCATCTCCCACTCACATCTTTCAACCGCAAATATTTATTGACAGCCTACTATACTGCCTGTTGTCCCTCCCTCCCTGCTGGCTGGTGAGCCCAGTGTCCCTCCCCTCCACCATGGCCCAAGGAGGTGAGGGTCGGGGGAGGTGGGGGAAATATTAGGGCCTGGGAGCTGCAGGGATGGGAGGTCAGGAAGAAGAGGAACAAAGCCCGAGGGCACCAGGGGAAGAGAAAGGAGGCCAAGGAGAGGAATGGACAAGAACCCAGAAATGAGATGTAAACATCTGACTGGAAACTCCATTGATTCCATGCCCCACGTCTTGGGTTTTAAGAAGAGGCAGGAGTTTGGGATCAGGCAAACAGAGGATGAGTCACAGCTAGTCACTATCTCTGTGACCTTGTGACCTGTCTCTCTCTGCCTCAGTTTCCTCAAGTGCCAAATAGGGATAATAATAGTACCTGCCTTGGAGGATGGTTGGGAGGATCAAGGGAGATGCTGCAGGGTACTTTGCAGAGTCTGGTGCATGAAGCAGCTTCTGAGTAAAGGGCCCCTTGCCCCGGGCATCATATGGAGACTAATCCATGAGATGGGCTGGCAGTTTTTCTCAGCAGGACCAGGACCTCCCAACCCTCATTAGTCCATGACGCACCTCTGGACACGACAGACAGAATGGGGGCCTCCACCCCCAATATATGACCAACCCAGTCATCCCTCTTCTCACACATACCCCATATGTTTGCTCATACACACTCGTGCAATCACACACACATGTGCTCATAAATCTTACACTCCTTGAGGGCAGAGACTGTAACTCACATGACTTTTATGATACTTACCACAGCGTGCTGCAGTTACTTGTTTACATGCCTATCTCTTCCATCTGACTTTATCTTTCAATACCCAGCCAAGTACTTGGCCTTCCATAGATACTGTATGAATTATTAATGAGCCCATTTGCCAGGTGCCTAGCATCGTGTCTGGCGGGCCACAGGTGTTCCCACGGTATTGCCTGACTGAGGGAACACAGAAAAGGTATATATAAACACCCAGCCCTGACCTCCTTTCCTCTCCACGGTTACCACTCCCTCTGGCTTCCGGACCAAAAATTGGCAGAGAGCAGTGATGAAACCCAAAACTTCAGGACACACCCAAGCACTTAAGTCAGGCACCTGGGCAGGTGAGCTGTGCAGCCCAGCAGGGGTCACCTGGCTCTTTGGGGAAACAGCTTGACAAGGGCTGCTTTCTATTCTGTCCTGTTCTCCTCTGGCTCTGTAACTCTCCACCCCCAGCTTCAAAGCTCATGGATTGCTTTGCCACCACCCCCGACTTTGCGACTTTGCTTTCTCCAAAACTAATTCCCCTGCCACCACCCACTGCCACAGCCCCTTCAGTGGCCTCAACTTTCCACCAGGTTCTTCCCTTGAGGCGGAGGAGGCCTGTTCTTTGCTCTCCTCTTGCTCCAGGGAAGAGATGGGGATGATCTCTACCCTGCCCTTTTGGAGTTATCAGCATCTTGACCTCATCAGCACTCTCTTCCACTTGTGGAGGGATTGGGGGGGGGGGATGGGAGGGAGGAAGAGGGGGCTTGCTGGTTCAACAACCACAGCACTAGGAAGGTTCCACTGGGCAGAGCCGCCAGTCCATTGAGTGGGGGCCCCCTATCTTGCCCAAAGGGAGGTCTGCCTGGGGACAGGATTGTCCCCTCCTACCCCTGGGTCTGAGGTCTGCCTGCCCAGTGGGCACCTCTGAACCCTCCATACTACCCTTCTGGGCACCCAGGAAGTGACGGAGGGACCAACTGACCTGTAGGGATTGAGGGTGCAGACGGTAACTGCAGGGAAGACGAGCTTGTCCGAGTTGAGGTTGATGTTGAGGCTGACGGGGTAGCTGAAGTACTCTCCGAACAGCAGGCCGAACTGCCAGTACATCATGCCGAAGGTGCAGAGCCAGAGCACAGCCCAGAAGGCCGTCTTCATGCGGTTGTGCTGGGAGCACACCAGGCGGATGGCGCCATGGATGGTGGTGTGGTTGCAGAAGAACTCAAAGAGCTCTCGGTAGGAGCGGTGGAACTCGATCAGGGCCTCCTCCTCCTCTGTGGGCTGCTGGGGGGCCGTGGGTTCAGAGCCCAGCCCCTGCTCCTCATGCTTGTCTCCCTTCATGAGTCCTTGGGGGTGTTGTGGAGGTTGAGGGTCAGGGCTGAGTTCTTGGCTCTCCATGGGGTTGCCCTCCTCCATCGTCATCTTGAACCCAGAGTGAGGCTGCTCCTGGCCATGCCCGCATCCCACCCTGAGCCCACTTTCTCCCACTCCTCCCTCCCTCCACCTTCCCAGAGGCCAGCTGACCTGCTGGAGTTGGGGCCAGAAGAGCTGGAGCTGGGCTTCCCTGGAGTGACCTCTCCTCTGCTTCCCTGATAAGGCCACTTTTGGGTTCCCTCCTAGCACCTCCCTTTCTGTCTCCACAGCAGTCAGTCTCTGCCCTGTTTGGTCAGTCTCTTTCTTTGGGTCTCTTCCTCCAGGATCTCCGTGTCTTAGTCTCTGCCTCTCCCTCTCTCTCTCTCTGCCTTCTGCGTCTCTTTGGGTCTCTTTCTGGGATCTGTTCTTCCTTTTGTGTCTCCTCTCTGTGTGCCAGGCTCTCTGATCCTGCCTCTCTTCCTCTTCCTCCCCACCTTTACCCCTCTCAGTCTGGGCTCTCTCCTCCTGTCTCTGGCCCTGGCCTCGGGCTGTGTCCCGACTCGCTCTCTGTCCCAGGACTGCAGGGCTCCAGGAGGTCTGGGCTGCCTCCTGCTCCCCACTCCCAGGTGTGGCTGGACTGGGACTGGTTCTTTTCCAGTTGAATCTGGCAGCCGGGCCTCTCCTCCCCCTCACCTGACAGGTGCAGCGTCCGGGCCAGAGAGCCCGGCCGCCCGCCAGCCGGGGATGGAAGCAACTGAAGCCTCATTAGCATCTCAATTAAAGGTGAGCAGGGCAGGGGGAGGGGCAGAGGAGGAGTCAGAGCTGAGCGTTCTCCAAAGGGAGGAGGGCTCCTGAGGGCAGGTGACCAGAGAGTGCTGGGGCCGGAGAGGGGGCCTGAAGGGAAACTAGAGAAGGGGCTGGGGAGTGATGCTGAACTGACAGGCAAGGAGACTGGGAGACAGAATGGCAGGTGAAGGCCAGAGATCTTGAACAAGGAGAAGGATCCTGAACACAAAGCCAGTAGGGCAAAACAAGGAAAAAGAACAAGCCAGGATGGGTGAGGCTAAGGTAGGGGGACCAGGAGGAAGGAGAAGGCAAAAAAAGGGAGCTTGGTGGAGGAGGACAGGTGAACAACTGGGAGAGGGGGATGGAAGAGGGCATATGGGGAGGAGAGGCAGAGAGAGGAGAGTGAGGAGGAAGGAGCCAGCCCCAAAGGACTCTCTCCTCCCAGGCAGCAGAGGAGGAGAGAGAGCCCCAAGTGAGCCTCCAAGAGCTGGATCCCCTCCCTGCAGAATCCCTCCAAGGGCACCCCTGGGTCAGCCTCACTCCTAGATCTTGGAGAGGAAGGAGAAGGGGTGTCTGCAAGCTTCCTCCCTGCTCACTAAAGTGGGGACACTTCCTGGCCCCGTCCATCCACTTCCCACTTGACTCCTTACCACTACCCCTTACCTTGTCCAGGCCAGGGAGGGGCCCAGGTGAAGCTAGGGGCTGGGCGGGGCCCTGGGACATTCTGTTCTGTTTTACACCATTGGCTGCTAGGCCAGGAATGTGTCATGTCCCCTGTTGTGGTCACGGGGTTGCAGGAATGTGGGCACCGGAGAGGCAGCACAGGGCACTTGGGCACAGACCCGGAGCCCAGGGAGCACCAGGGACAGCAGGCACTGAGGGGGCAGGGAGGGGTGAGGGCAGTGCTAGATGACCGGGAGGAAGAGGGTGGGCGTGGCCCAAGTCGACACCACCCTGGAAGGAAGGAAAAGCTCATTAGTAGGGGCTGTGTTTTTCCTCCAAAATCTCTGTCCCAAACTTAATCCAACAAGAGGATGAAAAGAGAAGTGCCAAGCAGTGAGCAAGCAGGGAGCGGAGGTTCAGAGAATCAGGCCCAAAAAGAGGGCCCAGCAAGGCACAGGACAGGAGACCCATCCACACAGCCCCCACCCTGCATGTGTCGGCAGGAAGTCTGCCACTTGTGGATCCCGCAGGAGGCAGCCCTAGTGTGTTCACTGGCTTCTCCCGCCTCCTCGGCGGAGCAGGCATGGGCGTCCCTGTGATGTGCAGACACAGGCCCAGCCTGAGCACTGATGTAGACCGTGGCAGAAGACAGGACTGCAGTATAATAAGATAAAGATTCTAGTGGCAGAAATAAGAACCAACTGCTGAGGGAGCCTGGGTGGGGAGGGAGGGAGAGGCACTCACCTCGAGGTGACTCAGGAAGACTTCCTGGAGAAGGTGGCATCTCAGCTGAGTCTCGAAGAACAACAAAGAGTTTACCTGGCAGAGAGGGCAGCAGGGTACTCCAGGCTCAGGGTACAAACCGGTCTCGTGGCTTCCTCTCTGGGCTGTCTCTCGTGGCCTCTTAAAGTGAGAGCTGGAGTCAACCAGGATTCCAAGCCCAGTCCCACTGCCTCCCTTGACACCTGCTGGGACACCTCCCCTGGGAAGGGACAGGCTGGCTTCTTCATTTTCCAGATGAAGAAACAGACCCTCCACAAAGATAAGCCAGTTTTCTGAGGACACAAAACAATAACAGCAGAGTGAAAAACAGAATCAGAATTCTTCTTCTCTGGGTTTGTCTATTTAGGGCTTTTGCCATTTATTTCCGAGACACACCAGCCACAGACGCATGGGGAATCGGGTCTCCCCTGCACCTGGTTGTGAAAGCCAGAAAGGTTCATGCACTCACACGCAGAGTCCACAGATTCATCAGCAATCTGGGGCCCGGGATATCTCCCTGGCTCCGAGAGAAGCTCTTGACATTGTCCCCACCTTCCCACAGAATGCAGACACCCCTAGAAGCTCCCTTCTCCCTTGAGCCAGGTGCTTAAAAAAGGGATGATCCTACCTACACACGGGGCACGCAGCACCCTGCCCGTTTGATCTGGAAGGTTCTGAGGAGCACCTCTCTGCCTTTTCTATTTGCTGGCTGGTACCTGAAATCCAGCCACTGGCTTAAGGCAGCATGGCAAAGAGTTTTCACCTCAAGGGCTCTGTGAGAAGAATTGCCAGGCCTGGCCTGGACGGAGCTCGAGGACATGGTCTCCCTGTACCCGCTGCCGGGGTGGCAGCCCGTGCCTAGAGACAGCAGCATTCTAGATCTGGAATAGGCCAGAGCAAGCTTGTTGTTGTGAGAAAAACAGAAATCTGAGACCTGTACTTTTGTCAGAGCTCCATATTAAATATTATCTTTTATAGTGCAGAAATGATACCCAAATACATTTTTGTCACCATACAATTTTCCAGCAATACAGAAGTATGCAGAACAATAAAAGCCTCCCTTCATCCCATTCCTCTCCCACCCCTTGGCACACAGGGAGCCACTGTAATCCATGTATCCATCTGTATATTTTTGTGTGCTTTTATAGACTTACGTGTATTTTTTAAAAACAAAATTTATTGGACAAAATTTATTGGTTTTTTCATAAATAGGACCATGTTATAGATATTCTATGACTTCCATTTTTGCTTTTACACTATGTTACTTTGAAAAAGGCACTTTACCTCTCTGGGCCCTTTTCAGTGCTCTCATCTGAGAAATGAAAGGGCAGGAGCGGGTGGGTAAGGCCGCCAAGACAATCACAAAGGCCCTTTCCAGCTGACTCTGCATCCGGCCCCTTGTTTAACGCATGTGGGAACTGAAGCCAGAGAGGCAAAGTGACTTGCCCATAGTCACCCAGGGGTTACAGGCAGCGCCAGACTGAGAGCTGAGCCTCCCTTTCCAAGTGCAATGCTGCTCCCCTCAGGTCCAGAGAAGTGGAGCCTGGCTCTGTGGGGGATCCAGGGCCCCCCAGCCTCTCCCAGAGCCCCAGCCTTTCCTTCCCACCCAGGGCTGCCTTCCCCCTTCCAACACCAGCCATCCTCTAACCCTGTGGTGTGGCCATAAAATGTGCAGAGGCTACAGGGAGAGAAGGGAAACCAGAGGGTCTGCACTGGGATGAGGGTTATGAGTTTGAAGGGTATTCCTGCCTCATGCTCTCTAGGGAACAGGAGACGATGGAAGTAATCACCTTGTCCTCCACCCCACCAGAGAGAGCCTTGTGTACTCGATGGCAGCACTTACAGCTGTGTACTATTATCCTGGTGTGTGTGTGTGTGTGTGTGTGTGTGTGTGCATTTACATATGCATGGACCATATTATGAGTTCTCTGAGGACAGGCACTAGCCTTATTCATCTTGGTTGCTCCACTGTGTAGTGGTCCCTATGTGTTGACCCACTCTGAGAAGACAGCAGAATTGGCATCTTGGGTAAGACCAAGGTTTATCTTTGACAGAGACTGATATGCTATGAGAAAACATCCCCAAAACATCAAACATCCTAATTTCCTCTGATAACCCATTAATTTGTGGTCTATTAATTTATCTAAATTTCCTTCACTTTTTCCATTTTAGTTTCTATCCTTTCTAGGGTAAAAATGAGTCACTCAAAGTCAGTCACTTTATTCTTACCACTTAGAACTAATCAGCCTCTCCACACTGGGCTGCCCACTGTGGAAAAAGTGGTCCTTTTTCCTGCACTTATATCGTATGAATTTCTCCTTAACCTAAAATGACGTACCAGAAAATCCCTCCTTGCCACTCCTAGTCCAGTCACCGGCAGGATGCTTAGAAGTTCACCATTGGAAGTTTATTCCTTTGGGCGAAGGCAGGATTCCTCTTCCAATCCCTGGCCTCTACTGACCAGATGCCAGTGGTACCCCCTGAATTGTAATAATCAAAACTCCTCCAGATAGTGCCAACAGTCTCCTGGGGGGAAGTCACCCCAGCTGAGACCCCTGGGCTAAGGGATCGTCCCCAGTGAAAGTACAAACTCTCTGGGGAAAGACAACCCTCATCAGTTCCACATTCGTCAGTGTTAACCAGACCCTTTCCAAGGGCACCAGTTCGCTAAGAGCAGTGTGAGGAAGAGGAGAGAAAAAAAAGAATATTTAGAAGAATTCATTCCCACCAACCCCCTTTTTGGATCCTTCATGGGCCTCTGGGAAGAAGGATCTCTCAGCAATTCCCTGTGAAGAAGGCCTGGGAGGAGAGCCCATTCCCACACATTCAGGGAGTCTATGGGGCACTCAGTTGGGTCTTGTGTTGCCCAGTGGAAATCAGTCAAACTTTAAGGAAGCTGGTGAAGAACAGGAAAGGAAATAAGCAGAGACAACGGCCTGTCCGCAAAGAATTCGTAGATTCCTCACCCCTATGGCTCTCCCTTCATCCTCCTGGAGAAGGTTGGGAAGGCATTATAATAACTACTTAT